GAGGGACAAGGAAGGTTTGATTGCTCCCATTTTACACACAGGGAAACTGAGGATGGAGGAGGTGAAGTGACTTGCCTAAGGGCATGAGGCTAGGGAGCAGCGGATGTAGGATCAGAACCCTGGTTTTCAGACTCAGAAGGTCATTTCCCACTCATTCTTCAATGGTGCCTTCCTTGCGCTGGCCAGACTGGTTGCCTCAATATCCCACACATTTTTCTTGTTCTAAAACTGGGGAATCAGTCATCAGGCTAGGATAGGGAGAGGAGCTCAGATTAAATGACCTATTTAAGGTCCCTTCCAAGACCAAGATGCCATGATTTTTCATTCCTTAGATCTCCAGTGTTCCCATGATTTAGAGCCATTCCGTCTCTGTACCTGGTAGTTGCCTTACCCATTTGTTGCTAGTTACCCTTAATAATGACCCATATTTTGCAGATCTAACAGAGTCTGGCATATATTCATTTATTGTCAGGCCCATCGGCAGCACTTGACTTAGGTGAGCACTCCCAGTTGCTTCTCTTAGTGATCTCATCTGGTCATCAAGGCTTTAAGTGACATCTATTTTTTTTTTTTTAAGTTCTTAGTTTATTAATTCTCTCATGAAAAATCTGCACCATCACCACAGAAAAAGTCACTGCGGAATTTTTACTCCTTCTGTTGTCCAATCTCCAGCTCACTTTTTGCCAGCACCAAAACTGGCTTTTCCAATCCCCCTTTCTTCATTCTGTTCTTGCATTCCTTTTGCGTGTTCTTGAGGTCTTTTTCTTCGAATACAGGCCATGTCTTGCAAGTTGAGGTTTGGGTTCATTTTCCTTTGCATAATCCAAGGAATCATAAATCACACCAAAGCCAGTTGTCTTGCCACCACCAAAATGGGTTCTGAATCCATATACAAGGATGATGTCTGGTATGGTCTTGTATGGTTTTGGCTACTTTTTCCTGAATTCCTGCCTTTCCAGGGTGAAGAACATCAATTACCATTTGTTTCTGCTGAAATACTCCGTTGGTCATGAACTTCCTGGTCCAGATATTTATTGTCGTTTATGATGGTGGCCTAGCTTCAGGCAACCAGGGAGGAAAAGAGCTTAAATGACATCTTTATGCAGAAGATGCCCAAATATATACTTTCAGCCTGGACCATCTCCCCTGAACCCCAGACATATATCCCGCCACCTGCTCAGTATTTCCATTGGCTGTCTAATAGGCATCTCGATTTAACACGTCCAAAAGAGAGCTCTGATCTTCCCCGCTAAACTTGTGCCTCCCACAGTCTCTCCGTCTCAGGTCCTAGCAGCTCCATCCTTCCCGCTACCACTTGATCCAAGTACCATCACCTCTCACCTGGGTTATTGCAGGAGCCCCCCCCCCCCGTAGTTCTCCTTTTCTCTGTCCTTGTGCCCTTCAGTCTTTTCCCAATACAGCACGAGTCATCCTGTTAAAATGTGCACAAGATCATGTCACATGTCTGCTCAAAACCCACAAGTACCTCCCATCTCATATTTTAAAAAAGAAAAAGAAAAAAATACTTATTTACTTATTTTAGAGAGAGAGAGCGCGCGCGAGAACATGTGCACAAGAGAGAGAGCACGAGCGGGGGGAGGAGCAGCGGAGAAGGACAGATAGAATTTCCAGGAGATTCTCTGCTGAGTGACCACAAGGGGCTTGATCCCAGGATTCTGAGATCATGACTCAAGCCGAAATCAAGAGTCAGATGCTCACCTGACTGAGCCACCCAGGTTTCCCAAAAGCCAAAGTCCTTTTTATGATGAGAAGCCCTGTGGTGGCCAGCTCCCTCCCTCTATCCTCTAGACCTTTGCCCACCTAGTTCAGTCTGGAACTCTGCCTTCCCACCCCTCCTGTCCTCACAACATCCCCCTTTTCCTTACCCCCCTTCTTTCTAACATGTTTGACATTTTACTTATTTTATTCTTAGCCTGTCCACTCAACAGAATGAGAGCTTCATGAGGACAGGGATTTTTGCTTGCTGGCTTCCCTGCTGAATTCCAAGCAGCTAGACCAGGACCTGGAGCTGTAGAGGGGCCGGGGGGCCAAGATAAAAGATACAAATCACTGCCCACAGGGACAGTAGTGTCCTAAGTGACACGGGGTGGCAGGGAGAATGGGAACAGGACTGTGTGGTGGGGTGGGGGGCAGTAAGGAAGAAGTCTTCACAGAACTACGGATCGTTGTAGATGTTTGATCTGGTCTTGACAATTTAAGGAGGGTAGAGCTGATGGTGAGGGGAGAAACACACTCTGCAGAGGCCCAGTGGTATGAGAGTACAGGAAATGGCAGATACTATAGTTAATTGCACAGATCTCCATGGACCACCCCTTACGGGTCAGAGGGAGCATAGTGGTGAACAAAATGGTTCTTGCCTGCATGGTGCTTAGTCTAGCACCATGAGGGAGACAGACAAGGAGGCAGGCAACTCTAATACTGTGTGCTATAGGCTGTGATGGGGTACAGGGAGGAGGGGCACCGAGGCTGGACCCAGAGGGAAGAAGGGAAGGCTTCTGGAGGAAACAAATACCTGAACCTGTGTAAGTGGAATGTGGCAGGTGTGAACTGGGCAGGAGGGCAGGGTGGGAGATAAAGCCAAACAAGAAGGCTAGGGTTAGATGGGGCAGGCCACGTACTGTTGCCTGGTGAGCAGTTGATGATTCAACCGTCAACTGAATGAAAGAGTCAACGAACAAGGTGTCACCACATAAAGAGTGTCACTAAGTCCATAAGCCACACACACAAATCCAATTAATTCCTCTGTATTCATATTTGAGCACACAGACAGTGGTGGGGAGTGGGTAGGAAGGGTAACAGGCTCAGGCCACAGCCAGATCCAGCGTAAGGAATAAGAGCCACGATTCTCGTCCTGCCTCTTGCTTGTGACCTTGTTATGTGACCTTGCCCAACTTCCTTCCTCTCTGTGGGCCTCAGCTTCACCATTGAGAAAAATAAGAGGGCTGGGGTCTGATGCACATTTCAGAGAAGGAGTTCCAAAGAGTTCATGCCATTAAAAGTGGATGTGGTGCCCATCTTAATTTCTTTCTTTTTCAGTCCATTGATAAAATATTCCATTATATCCCCCCTTTCAAATGATGCCATGGAATGCCTCCAAGGGTGTATGGGGTGTTCATGAGTGGATGACCACAGATGGCTAATGAGCATGTTCAGGTGAACATCGTTAACCATTGTCATGGTTTTTACCACTAAACAGGTTAAATTGTTAATCTTCATTATTTACATATTAATTTATAGCCATATTGGACCATGAGGAAGTATGAGGAGCATTGATAGCCATACTACAAAAATCTGATGCTGAGGAGAGTGATAATTTTGCAAATTTTCCTCAAGTTGATCCTCATCAGAAAAGAATGGTATAGTTTTCTAATCAAAAGTCATTAGTCACTAATAAGCAAAGCCAGGCACCCCTCTTTCTCTCTTTAAAATAAATAAATCTTTGGGGTGCCTGGGTGGCTCAGTCGTTAAGCGTCTGCCTTCGGCTCAGGTCATGATCCCAGGGTCCTGGAATCCAGCCCCGCATCGGGCTCCCTGCTCCGTGGGAAGCCTGCTTCTCCCTCTCCCACTCCCCCTGAATGTGTTCCCTCTCTTCCTGTGTCTCTCTGTCAAATAAATAAATAAGATCTTAAAAAAAAAATCCCAATTAATGTTTTTAAAGTGAATGTTAAAAGAAGTTGCCATGCAAAACTGATGAAAGTTTTGAATCACTAAGGGAGTCCTCGAGATAGCGTATTACTGTGAAGGGGGTTTCTAACAATGTTGGGGAGCACTTGCCTGAGTAGCCTTTGAGATCTCAGTAGGCTCTGTGACTCGAAATTCAGAATTGAAGGACCACGTGTTCTGTAGGACCCACAGTGGGGGGCTGTGGCACTCAGACCGTTCTAGAGTAGATGACAAAATCCACCACTGTGGTGATTTTAAAACATGGGTAGGAGTTCTCTAGCACTTCTCCCTTCAAGAAGTAGAGTCTACTTGCTCTCCCTTTGGATACAGGCTGGACTTAAGGACTCATGTCTAAAGGAGAGGACGTGGTGGCCGTGAAATTTCTTGGCGGCTTGGCTTCTGAGGTTAGTCACAGAAGAAGACGCAGCTCCCACCTGGCTTTCTCTGGGGGACATGCGCCTTTGGAGCCCTGAGCTACCATGTGAGAAGTCTGGCCACCTTGAGGCTGCCATGCTGGAGAGACCATGAGGGGAGGTCACATGGACAGAGAAATGCTACAGGAGCCAAATGTGGGAGGAAATCTTCTCCATGTCCGACCCTAGGTCCCATCTGACTACAACCACATAGGAGACCCTGAGACCAGTTAACCCCCGGCACTGACAGCCAGTAATATTAACAAATGGCTGCTATCATTTTATGCCACTAAGTTTGGGGTGGTTTGTTACATAGTCCTAGATAACCAGACAACTCCTGGAGTCTTTACTGGGTTGGGTTCACCATTCGAACCACTCACTGCCTCCCTTCCCCATTCATCCCCTTTTAAGGAAGCTACACGAGTTAGATATGTTTATGGTATCTTCACCCTTCACATTCAAAACTATCTCCCGCACTGCGCCTCTGCTCAAGCCCTCTGAGCCCATGGGATGCGTCTCCTCTCCATCTGACATGCCTTTCCACCCCTCACCACTAAATTGCTAACCAATTTATGGAATTATGGGATGTTTTTATTTTCTTCTTTGTGTTTTCTATGTTTTTAACACTTTGTTGACACGGGACACATGTTATTTCTGGAATCAGAAATGTTAAGTGTAACTTAGTGGTGAAAAAAAATATTCTTCAGTTTGGGATGATGAAAATGTTCTGGAGATAAATAGTGGTGACGGTTGCCACTATACCCTGAAAACTGTACCCTGAAACCTGGCTAAATGGTAAATTTTATGTTATGTATATTTTACCACAATGGAAAAATATGTATACAATCCCTTAAAACTCAAGACCCAGCTCCTTCAAAGTGACCACCCAGGCCTCACCCGCTCGTCTGTATCACTCAATAGGTCCTGGATTTTTCTGCCTCATACGGGCAATTCTTCATTTACATAATTAGTTTGTCTCAGTCCTGTGTCTCAGATGACCACTAGAAGCTCCCTGAGGGCAGAAACTGGCATTATACGGGTGATCATGCCTATGTACATTTATAAAACAATTTATTTAAAAAAATTGCCTGGAAATTGGAACACATTTCCCTAAAGAATTGACATGACAAATGATGGCTCTGTTCTCAGACTAGCCAATCAAAACTTCTTAAACTCATTAAATATCTGACATGTTGTATGTTGGCAATGGAAATGTATCGCAGAAAACAATGGAAATATTGGCAATTAAACAAAACAGAACAATCAATGGAAAGGTTGACAAGTTTGGGATTGAATTAGTAACAAATATATATATTTAAAAAGAGATAATTATTAACTAGATAAAACAAAGTTCTGCATGAATGAAAATGACTCAAAGTTTATTACATGACTCATGTCTGAATATATTTGCATAGTTATAATGATGTGTAAGCACTGAATATTGGTCTAAGGAAAATTACAATAGAACTATATTGAAAAGATGAGGGGGATGGGAAATGTGTGTGTTTGGTGCAAATGGGAAGGAAAACAGTTAAATTCTAAGTTTGCATAGCAGAAATGCCACTAAATAATGCATAAAAACTGAAAAAAATTGGTAACATTACACACATTTTATTTAGAGAGTTGTTTTAGAACTTGACTATATAAAGCTATGTGTCTGTGAAATTGGGATAAAAGTAAAACTAAAAAAAAAAAAAAGGTGACACAATTCTCTGTATGGTTCAGTCAGATGCCCTCCTGCCCTGAATCATCCTTCCTCCTCAGCTCTCTAGGCAAACACTGATCCACTGCCCTATTCCCATCACTGCCTTGCTGCACCCAACAGCTCACTCCTGTCTGGAACCACTGCTCCTCAACACCCACCTCTGCTCAAGGCCAGCCTGCCCCAGCAAGCCTGGGATTCAGACGGCTCCTTTCTGGCGCCCCTTTATGAAAACCGCTGCACATCTGGCATAATGGGGCTGAGACCTGCTCTCTCCCAGGGGCTCTGGATGCTCTGTTGCAGCTGAACACACTGACCTTGGCAGAATGGGCACACTGCCTTCAGCAGAACTGAAAGGTAGGTAATATAAGTCACATTGTCCACCCCACTCCCTCTTCTTTTAAGTAGGCTCTACGCCCAACGTGGGACTCGAACTCACAACCCCGACATCAAGAATTGCATGCTCTACTGACTGAGCCAGCCAGGCGCCCCATCTACCCCGCTTTGGAAGCTGCACCCCCTCCTGCTGGAGACTGTCCACCCACAGCCTCTGGGGGCCAGGGCCCTCCCCCCAGGTCCATTCTGTGCAATAACCTTTTTCTTCCTCATTGTTCCCCATCAAAGCATGTCTACCCTGTGACCCGCCCTCTCCTGTGGTCTTTCAGACAAACTAAGCCTGTGGAAGTGAAGCAAGCTGAGGAGCTGGGGCCAGATGCAGAGCACCCTTAGCACTCATTATCCAAGGCCCGGCACACCTGGCACACTCCAGCCCTAACCTTCTGCCTGTTCCATTGCCCCCCACACTTCGCTTCCCGTTTCCCAGTGTGCCAGCTATAGCCTCCTCCACCCCCTGCTTTATCCCTTCATGCCTGTGCAAAGAGAATACTTTACCTGGAACGACTTCCTCCCACCTGGGGAAACTCATTCCTCCAAACTTACTCCAAGTGCTACCTCCTTTGTGCAGCCTTCCCTGACCATCTTTTTTTCCATTGCCCAGAAAAAATAACAGCTCCTGTTTGTTGAGTGCTGTGTGCCAGATACGAGGAGCTTGGCGTGCATTTTCTCATATCAGAGCTCGTAGCAACTCCATCCAGTAGGACCATCATTAGTTCTAGGTTATAAAAGGAAGCAGAAGCACAGAGAGGTTAAGTAACTTGCTCAAGGTCACACAGTGGGAAGTGATTCAGTGGGAGTCAGGACAGGTCAAAGCTCACACTCCTAACTGCTGTCCTGCTCTGCCCCCTGGGAGCTCACACAGCACTCAACATAGTTCCTTTTGTGCTTACCCTCTTTTGTTTACGTGGCCATCTCCACTTCTGGATTGAGAATCTTTTGAAAGTAGAGAATGTGTCTGGCTCCTCTGAACATCCTCAGATCCCTGGATCCCTCAGCATGAGGGAGGCCCATGGCAGCTGTTGAATTCACGTTGCTTGCTAATGGAGGACGGAAGCCAGAATTAACATTCCACTTCTTCACTTGACCTTGGGAAAGATGTACAACCTCTCTGAGCTCTAATTTCTTTCTCTGGGGAGTGGGGTGGGGAAGCCATGGGAGGAATAATACTAATACCTAACTGATGTCTCCTAGCTTATTGTGGAGATCAAATTGAACACGACACTGTCAGAGGAAATACTCTAAGTGGTGGGACGCTCACCATTACAAATGGTAGCAGTTGGTACTCAGAACGCAATGTGATACCTGCTCACAGGTAAAACATGGTATTCCTACCAGGGCCTTACCAATAATGATACCTTCATCCGAATGATGTGCAATACTGGAAGATCAGCTGTTGGGTCAGGCAGGTGGCAAGTAATCTGAGACCAAGGCCGAGTCTAGTCACCCCCATGGCAGGCTTCTGTACCCACCCTCCTTGCTCACATCCCAGAACTTGCTGTTCTCCCAAGATCCTTGGGGCTGAGTCATGTTCCTCTCCCCACCCAGCATCTTCCTTCTCCCCAGGGCTCAGGCCTGACAACTCAGGTCCTGGAGAGTGGACTGCTCCCACTGGCAGCACTGCACTCTTTAGGGGTGGGGGTGGGGGCCAGACCAGTGGCAGGAGTGCCAATATCAGCTTCATCAACCACCTCCGGGCCCCCATTCCATGCCAGGCCTGCGCTCTCACTTTGGCCTCACCTCAACTCCATGAAGGAGGTATTAGAACCCCACTTTGTCCAAGATTAGAGAACCAAAGGGCCTACTCAAGATCACGACTGTTGGACTTGAACCCAAGTCTATCAGGTTCCAAATTCTCTAGTCTTTCCCATGCTCCCCCTTCTTTCTCTGGGCAAGTTCAAGGAGATTTATATCCAAGATCCACCTAGGACTGCTTTCTCAGCATGAGCTGAGTCCCTGAAGGCACTCAGATTTCAGGCAAATACCATATTTCCTTGATTCTAAAATACATTCCTATTCACATTTTTATATTTCTGATAGCAGGATCTTACAAAGGGTAACATCTTAGATTTTAGGAAATTTAGGAGAAGCCCTAGAAGTGTCTCTGTCCAGCTCCCAGCTAGTCTTGTGCCTGTAGGGGAGTCACCTTACCTGCTGGTACTTCAGGGAGTTTAGTCAACCTGACTTTGGGTATCAGCTCTGCCAACCTGACAGCTGAATGGCTTTGCAATCCTCTCTGGGACTCAGTTTCCCCATTGGTAAAATGATGGGAGGGGTCACTGATTTTTGGCCTCTTCTTTTAAGCTGCAGAAGGCATTCGTTTGCCCAGCACACATAAGAAGCTAAGCTACTGTGGATGAAATCATGGTTGGAGGGCCTGGAGCTCTGAGGTTGCCTCTCCTCCCTGCACTCCTGCTGGAGGCTTTCTCAGCTCCCTCACTCTGGCAAATTCCTCCGCTGAGCCCTGGTTTGGGAAAACATTGCTCTGGGAGGTGGAGACAGGGCTGGAAGATCTGGGCTCAAGCGTGGACTTGAAGCGGCTGGGATGGCTACGGTATAATCACTTCCTGGCTCTGGGCCTCAGCTTCTCATCTGTGAAGTCAAGCAGTAGGTAAGATATTTTCTAAGAATCTGTTCTGGTGTGAACATTCCGTGAACACAATCTTCCATTGCGCTACCTTTACTTTGGTTGCATAGTAGGATCACCTAGGGAGCTTCTAAGAAAAATGAAAAGATGGAAGACCTCCTCCCTGCCTCCCCATGGTGATGTAATTGATCTTAGGAGGGACTCAGACATCAGCATTTTTAAAACCTCCCCAAGCGATTTTGACAGCCACCAGGGCTAAGAAGCACACTCCTCCAGGCTTAAAGTCTCAGTCGGGGACAAAGAATAAAAATTCCAATGACCTTTTTAAAGAAAGGGTCCTAAAATTAGCTTAACTTAGGGAGAATTTGTTTTTGTTTTTTTTTGGCAGTCCTATTAGTGAATTGGTAGATGGGTGCTTAGAAACCTAAATAGCAAGGTCAAAATCTTCATTTGAAAATTGTTTGAGGGGCGTCTGGGTGGCTCAGTTGGTTAAGCATCTGACTCTTGGTTTCAGCTCAGGTTGGGAGATCTCAGGGTTGTGAGCCTACCCTAGGTCTTCGCACTCAGCAGGGAGTCAGCTTGGGATTCTCTCTCTCCCTCTACCCCTCCCCCTGCTCACGCTCTCTCCCAAATAAATAAATAAATAAATAAATAAATAAATAAATAAATCTTAAAAAAAATTGTTTGATACTCAAGTATCTAAGAAGCCATTCCTGCGTGACTGACTGTGTGATGGGGAGAATTTGCTAAGTTTAAATACGGCGCCTACTCTCAGAGTCTGTAATCTAACTGGAGAAGCAAACCGTATGGTGTAAAATTAAGTGTTCAATCTGAGATAACCTTTACTGAGCACTTATTTTTTTTTAATTTTTTTAAAGATTTTATTTTATTTATTTGTCAGAGAGAGAGGGAACACAAGCAGGGGGAGCGGCAGGCAGAGGGAGAAGCAGGCTTCCTGCAGAGCAGGGAGCCCGATGCGGGGCTCGATCCCAGGACCCTGGGATCATGACCTGAGCCGAAGGCAGATGCTTAACGGACTGAACCACATAGGTGTCCCTTTACTGAGCACTTACATTGCATGCCAGGCACCAAGTGCTTTATAGTACAGTAAACAAACTTAATCCTCACAACAATTTGTTTAGGAGGGTTTTGGTATTATTCCTGTTTCATTCTTAAGGAAATGGAGGGTCAGAATGTTATGTGAACATGCCCAAGCCCATGAAGCTAGCAAGTAGCAAAGGCAAAGGTAGAAGCCAGGCTCCAAAGCCAATGCTTGGTATCATTGTGCCATCCCACTTATCTTGGGTGAGGAAATTCCCATAAGCTCTGTGGGACGCCTAGAGGAACCCAGGTTCGACTTCAAAGTGTGTGTTCTATTAATTATAAGAGGAATCCCTCAGGATGCTTGTGGTGACTGAAGAGCCTAGGTAGGGGAAAGTAGGGAAATGTCGGGTGACACAGGGCCTTGGATTTGATTAGGGGCTGGAGCAGGAACGTGAGAAGAGAAAGTTCATTTAAGAAAGTGGCAGTGTCCTGCTGGGTGTGTTAGTGAGGCGGGAGGTGACTTGGTCCTGAGAACCTATCCAGGACAAGGGCTCCGTCCTCTTCTGTTTTCTCGTGGCCTACCAAAGGCCTGGCATGTGACTGTTACTAAATATTTGCGAAATGAAAGTTGAGAGCAGCTTCTTTGAGGTCACTAGGAATTTTATTTTTATTTTTTTTAAAGTAGGCTCCACGCCTAACATGGAGCCCAGTGCGGGGCTTGAAATCACAACCCTGAGATCAAGACCTGAGCTGAGATCAAGAGTATGACACTTAACCGACTGAGCCACCCAGGCATCCGCCAAAGTCACTTGGAATTCTTTTTTTTCAAGATGCATTTATTTTAGAGGTGGGAAAAGGAGCAGAGGGAGAGAAAGAATCTCAAGTAGAATCTGCGATGAGCACAGAGCCCCGACACTGGGCTGGATCTCACGACCTGAGCCAAAACCAAGAGTCAGATGCTTAACCGACTGCACCACCCAGGCGCCCCTCACTTGGAATTCTTAATCTTCACGTCCAACCCAGGCTAGTTAGAGAGCTGCTACAGTTGCCCAGAATGACCTTACAGGTCCTAGACTGAGGAACGAGGAGGAATGGACAGTTGAGACAACACAAAGCAGTTAACTGGCGAGACATCACATCCTAAAGCACCCAATCCTAAAGCACCCAACCTAACTACACACCGTAGCATTTACATGCATGCTTAGGGATGCAACTATGACCACAGATATGCCCAGAAACCCAGCTAACATGGAGAGTTCATTCTACAGAAGACCAGTGTGGTTTCTAGAACCTACCTGGCCAGTGGACCTTCCTGCAGAGTCATCCCCCTTGACTAGCATGTGAACCTATGCCACTTCTGCTGGGGGCCATTCCAGTGAAGACAGCAGGGGACTGGGCTTGGGGGGTGGGGAAGAGTCCTAGAACTGGCTAATTGTTTCTCCAAACTTATATTTCTAGAATGCAAGTTTGGGAGCCAATTGAGAGAGTATCTTTCAGAAAGGAGCACACAGCAAACTCAACAACTCAGCTGAGTCAGAGCTGAACCCCATCTACTCCATTTCAGCAGGAGCTCAACCCCTTTCAGGGTGGCAAGGCCAGGGCACCAGAGCTGTGGACAGAACCAGGCTGATGAACATTTAAACCCTGGTAATTCCTGAAATCACTCCAAGCCCAAAATAAAATTACCATCATGGGATTCTCATACTGCAGTTGTTTCAACTGTACCCCCTCAAAACACCAAGGGATCAATCATTGTTTCCTCGTAACCCCTGAATGGGTGAGGTTAAGCCAGAGGGAAATCCAAAGGCTTCAGGGCCCTGATAGGACTCTGGTGCCCTGGAGCCCTAGAGCCACTGGGATGTCTGCACCTCCAGCACAGTATTTGCAGAATGTTTATGGCCAGGTTCAAAGCTGATTTTTTTTTTTAATTTTTATTTTTTGAAGATTTTAAGTAATCTCTACATCCAGCATGGGGCTCGAACTCACAATTCAGAGATCGACAGTCACATGCTCTACCAACTGAGCCAGCCAGGTACCCTAGAAACCTCTGATTTTTGATTAGCAAAAGATCTACGCTGAATTAAAGACATCAAGGAAGGGGTGCCTAGCTGGCTCAGTCAGAAGAGCATGTGACTCTTGATCTTGGGATGAGTTTGAGCCCCACTTTGGGTGTAGTGATTAAAAAAAATAAATAAGCTTAAGGGAAAAAAAAAGAGAGAGACCAAGGTAATTGTTTCCCAACTGGAGTGCCATAAATGAAATTATATGTATGCCTCAGAGCCTGGGGGTCTCACTGGTCACTTCGTGCTGCAAGCAGCCTCAACATGTTAACCCAGTCTGCCTGTCTATCCCAGATCGTCATAAAAATGCCTTCTTGTGTGTGTGTCGTGAGGTGAAAATGTTAGGAAGCACTGGTCCATAGCACTGCCCTGTTTAAAGATCATCTTTATTTTTTTTAAGATGTATTTTTTATTTATTTGTGTGTGGGGGGCAGACGAAGAGGGAGGAGAGAAGCAAAGTTCCCACTGAGTGTGGAGCCCAATTTGGGGCTCCATCCCACAACCCTGAGATCACGACCTGAGCTGAAATCCAGCCAGACGCTCAACCAATTAAGCCACAGAGGCGCCCCAGGATCATCTTTATTTCTAATAATTTCTGTATACAAATTAAAGGTTTAAGACCCTGGGGCGCCTGGCTGGCTCAGTCCCTAGAACATACGACTCAATCTTGGGGTTGTGAGTTCAAGTCTTACGTTGGGGGTAGAGTGTACTTAAATAAAGGGGGCATTTGGGGCACCTGGTGGCTCAGTCAGTTGAGCGTTTGCCTTCAGCTCAGGTCATGATCCAGGACGTGGGGATCAAGCCCCACATCCAGCTACCTGCTCAGCGGGGAGTCTGCTTCTCCCTCTGCCCCTCCCCCTGCTCATGCTCTCTCGCTCCCTCCCAAATAAAGGGGGCATTAAAAAATAATTACTAATGTTTAAAAATTAAAAGGTTACAAACCTAATAGCTAATACAGCAGTGGATCTTCTTGGGGGATCATCCTCCCTTTGAGAATCTGGAGAAGCCAAAGCCTTTCTCCCCAGAATGCACTTCCAAAATATTGCCAAGCAATATTTTGCATACCACTTCAGTGGGTTAGAGAATCCAGATTAAGTGCCTGTGCTGGAAGGATTATCAGACAAACCCCAAATTTACTAATTTTAGAGGGGTTCATCTGCTTCTCTCTCCCCATTCCCCAGTACAGCTTCAACAGACCAGAGAACTGTCAAAGAAACCTCTGCAAAAAGTATTACACTGAACTTCCTTGAAATTTCCCAGGGAGCACTCAGAGACCACTATTTGGAAACTCCAGGTAGCATCCCTGAGAAAATCCCAGCTGCTCAGGAAGGACATGCTAATCACTGGCTCCAGGCACCACCCACCCCACCCCTGCAGTACAAATGGCCGGCTGCTGGGAACCACTTGAGAGGCACAGAACCGTTCCCTGCACACCTCCCCTTGGGTTCGGATGCATTTTTGGCTGGTGTTTCTACTGGAAACCCCTGGTAATCACCTTGCAGTCTTCCTTTCTCCACTGCAAACACATGACCTTGTTCGTGTGTATTAATCACTCCACAGTTGCCACTAATCAAGGCAAGACTATAAATAGGGAAGGGGTAGGGGGGAAGGAACATTTACATCAATTAATTGTAGCAGCATCTTTATTGCAACAAAGAACCTGTAATAAAATGCAACAAAACTAATGTTTCACTTTACATGATTAAAAGCCATGTAGCTGAAAATGAGAAAACCCATAAACTTACTGGAGCGAGACATGCAATTCCTTTTATACAAGTCAATGCTTAAAACAGCAGGCACTTCATGTTCCAAAATTAAACACCTGAACTCCAATTGTGCTGAATACAACATAAATTTGTATTTGGGTTATTAAAAAATAAACATACAAATACTACTTTTCCCCTC